GGCGCGGGTTAACACGCGCACTGCAGGGGGGGGGGTTGTTTTCAACCCCCCTGTGGTTTTTCGCAAATCGCGAGAAAACGGCGGCGCGTAGCGCCGCCAAATGTTGCATACCTGTTCTCCCAACTTTTGCACACCTTGAGTAAAAATTTTGACCCCAGGTGACCTATGGTCAGGTCACCAGGTCAGGTCAAGTGACCCTACCTCGAAACGTAAAGTTCGAAGTTTGCAATCCCACCAAGCCCACAGTTGTTGAGATATGATCTTGAAACCCACAGGAAATAGTAAAGTCATCACGAGCTACAACTTGTATATCTCGGAATTTTTATATCGATGACCTAAGGTCAGGTCATTTTTGCGACCGGCCCATTATAAGTCAATGGGAGAAATTTCAACTTACTCTGAATGCCATCCTATGACTTCAATACGCTCAGGATCATAGTATTACAGGTCCCTGTTGGTGATTTCACCGAAACCTATCACTTATGACCTTTGGAAGGTGATCTCCAGGTCATCTTAGGTCACCTGAGGTCACCAGCGGTTTTTCTTCAATAACTTGAGATTGAATAGAGATAGAGACTCCGTTCGACGTTTATCGTGTTTTTCTCGTCAATGCGGATCGAATGATATGCAACATGACCTATTTCGGTCAGGTCATGACCTTGACCTGAGGCCAATTTTTCAACTTGACCTTTCGAGGTCATATCATATATCATTCGATGCGCCTTGACGAGCTAAGAACGATGGCGTTCGAATCGATCCTCTGTCTTGTGTGCAAGACAAGTTATTCAAGAAAAACTACCGCGAAATTCCTGTTGTGAAAATCGTAACATTTTGTCTTCGGTGACCTCTGGTGACCTCGTTTTTGACCTGACCCAAAAATGATCTTAGTATTTCTTGTAGATCTCATCTCAACCTATCCAACGCCGTTTACCGCTTGTCGCTACGTTGCGCCGTTTTCGAGATCTCAGGGGGGGGGGGTTGTTTTCAACCCCCCCCCCTGCAGTTCGTGTTCGGCTCAGACCCGCTGCAGTGCGCGTGTTAATACATCGCACGGCGATTTGTATACCTAACAGCACATCATCGGTGTTTAAAACTTATTTGGAAAATATTATTCATATATCCAATACAATGTGCGCTAACCAGTCTTCTCAATAAATCAGCTAGAAAATCTCGTGTTGTGTTCAAAAAGAAGTTTGCAGTGTGGGTCGAACTTAACCCGCGCCCGTATTGGTGTTTTTCCCATCCGCGAACGTATAAGGGGGGGGGGGGGGGCGTTGGACCCCCCTTGCCGTTTCGCCCCTGATCAAGCTATACCTCCACAGAAAAACGAGCGTGTTGCCCGTGACGAGAGGAAGCCGATGATACCCAATTTTAAGCCAAGGTCCTCGGTCCTTGGTTGACCTTCCAGGTCAGGTCAATGACCCAAAAGTCGGGAAAATCGGGACCTGTTAGAACGTCGTAAAGTGTGGCACCTATGGGGGTTTTCAGGGTGCTGATCACGAAAACCATGATGGTTTTGATCACAGATAATGTCTTCATGCATTTAGGCCAGGTCGAACCAGGTCAGGTCAGGTCAACCAGTATCTAGGGGTCGTGACGGGTATTCGTAGTACCTGTCATCCGACTCTGACAGCTTTGTAACATGTTACGAAGGCATGCTAAATATACTTTGTAAATGTTCTGATGGTTGCTAAATTCGAATTCAGCTCCAAAAACCAGCCTAGAAACATGTGAAACTCGAAAAAGTGAGCCGTGGTCATCAAAGGTCAATGACCTGACCTGACCTTCAGGTGACCTTGACATCCACTTTAAAGGGACTATCCCACCTTCTAAAATGTTGTTAAAACCAGTTAAATTGTGCCCGACTTTATAGATTGGATGACCAGGAACACGGTTCTGGCATTTATTTTTCATTAAACATCTTAGGCTTCCCATATTCCAAGCACAAACATTCAAATATGTGACGTCACAGCCCAAAATTACCTCCTTCCCCAGGCCACATTACTGTCATAAAGCTGATTCTTTTTACTCTGTAGGCACCACAATAAAGTTCAGACCAAGTTTTAAGCGATTTTTCAACGAACAAACCCATTTAAATCAGAATGACTAAACGAGGTGACGTCACACTAACGGTCGCTCCATGTTGAAGATCGGGCCTTGTACAAGGCCCATTTTCAAATGAAGGGAACGAATTTCTTCAACACCAAGAGGCCGCGGGGGTTGCAACCTAGATAGATAGTGGTTTCTGAACCTCGCCGCAAACTTGGCTATCTCAACTCAAACCCCATGTTAACCCTCGCCCGTAAACGGCGATCTGCCACCTTCACCCATGCAGGGGGGGGGGGGTTGGTGCGACCCCCCCCCCCCTTTGGCGTTTGAAAACGGAGCGTTGTAGAGCTTAGCGGAAAAGACCAACGGATTGCTCTCGCCGAGATCTCGCGATTGGTGGTATATTTTTTGGTCCTAGGTCAACATTTGACCTACTTTTGACCGGTCAAAGGTCAAATTTTCGGAAAAATAGACTTTTTTTCAACTTTCCGCGGCCATTGCGGCAAAACGGTAGGAGATATCGACTTGAAACCTTCACTATCGTGTTCCTTGATCAATTCTCTATCGTTTGGTATGTATTTCGTTTCCCTAGCTCTAAAAATGGCGCGTTGGGAGCGCCGGAAGTCGGCAAGGTCACAGTCGGCGGCATAAATTCGAAAAATCAAAATTTAAATTTTTGAAATCTGATTGTATTTTTGGATTTGGGAGGTCCATTTGCTCCCTATAGAAGCTAATATTGCTGCATATTCCCATTGAGGTGACAAGAATTAGCAAAATAGTGGTTCGGGCGCTTTTCAAAAATAGTACCGGACGCTGTTCCTCTTGTGACGTCATAGCTCCGTGGCCTGACCTGACCCGGTCAAGTTTCTTATACCATATGATAGCCAATACTTGCCCCAACATGCATGGGAAGTTTCATCACGATCCATCAACCGATGTCCGTACCACCGGCAGGAAACCTCGGGCGTTGGCACTCAGTTTGTGAAAATCCGGCCGGAGGCTGTTCCCTTTGTGACGTCATAACTCCGTGACCTGACATGACCCGGTCAATTTTTTTATCAAAAGATGCGCAAGGTTTGCCCCATAAGGTACCCAAAATTTGGCGGCGCTGCGCGCCGCCGTTTTTGCACTATTCCCGAAAAACCTCAGGGGGGGGGGGGGGGTTGCACCAACCCCCCCCCCCTACATGGGCGAGGGTTAAACATGGGATAGTCCCTTTAATGCATGCAGGCAACATCATATCACATGTTTGAACGCTTGAAACCACGAAAAGACTGCAAACGCGCGGCTAATGCGAGACGACATGCGCCGAATCACGATTCCGGCTAAACATGGTCTCGAAAAGTAGGTCACAGGTCAAAGGTCATTTGGGTCTGGGTCATGAAATTTTTAGAGAATGTGTTATATTGATTAACTCGAGGGTACTGAAAGTTTCGTCGCGATCGGCCTCTTTTTACGCGAGTTATTTGCGAAAAACCGAGAGAGGGTGTTCGGCAGCGGCGTCGACGCGTAAGGAAAACTGGTCCGACTTTTTCTCGGGGGGCCCCCACCGGTGGGGGCCCCCAGGGGCCCCCGTGGCCGCAGCAGGGCCCCCCGAGAGCCCCAACAGGGGCCCCCCGCGGCCGCAGAAGGGGACCCCGCGGGCCGCAGCAGGGCCCCGCGGTGTCTAGCAGGGCCCCAGAGGCGCAGCAGGGCCCCCGCGGTCTCTAGCAGGGCCCTCCGAGCCGCAGTAGGGCCCCCGCGGTCTGCAGCAGGGGCCCCCGCGAGCCACAGCAGGGCACCGCCTAGTCGAAAAAGTGGTCCGACTAGTCGGAAAAGTCGGACCGGTGTCGACGCCCCTGGTGTTCGGCCCCGCCCCCTATACGGGCGAGGGTTAAAAAACGAAATTCCATTTTTTGGCAAAGTTATGTTCTCAAAATGGTTTAAGTCAAATGTTCAAACTCAATTTTAGCAGTTCTAGCCCACGTAGGTACCTAACGAAAAACAAAGACCACCGTTAGATTGTCCGTCGCGAGCTGCATCGAATAACTAGGTAGGTAGGTATCCTTTTTATGCAAAATATCAACTTTGAAATGTAATGATTTTCCTTTTTTACAATAACTTGACCTAACCTCCACTAGAGCGTAACCTAAACTGGCTCTTATGGTCGCCTAACCCACACCATTGAATTTGTAATGTAAAATTGGCCACAAAGCATGTTATATCTAACCTAGCAATGACATGAAACATGGGTTACAAAACGAATAGTGCGAAGACTATTTGTTTGTATAGTCGGGTTCATATTAGGCCTTCTCACGACGGCTATCTGGTACAGATTTGATGCACATTAGATGCGGGTTTGTTGCAGATTTGGTCAAATTAGGTTAATTGTGTTTCTTAGAAGTTATCATCTTGGGTTGAAGAGTTACTTATATACCTGTTTGTTTTAACTATCAGACATTATTTACTAATAAAACACTGAAATAAAATCATGATATGAAGATTTTTGCTATAAAAGAGATTTGGTGCAGATTTGGTCAAATTTGGTGCATTCGCCAATCGCCAGAAAGCCCGTCGCGAAAAGAGATAGGTACTGTAACCTTAGTGACCAGACCTTGGCCAGGCAAAGCCCATACCGGTAATTTGGCGTTTTTTTTTTGCTTGGGGCGTGGTAGCATGCCGGTATCCCAGAAAATTTTTGTGGGGCGGGGCGGTGCCGGTAGCAGCCCATTGGGAAAACTTTGCAACTCTAGTCCTTGTGTTTCTGATTGACAGATAGGTAACAGAGCCTTCGCGTATCAGCGATTAAAAAAACTCATATGGTTTAAAGAGAGAACAGTAAGTTAGAATCGTTGTACCTACTACCTACCTTTCCACGAAGGTCAGCCGGCCTTGACAGATACGGACTAAAACAGCTGTTACTTCTCACACGGAGTTCAGGAACCGTTCAGGTAAGTGGAGCCGCTGCCAGTAGATCTCTGCGAGTGACCTGAGCAGCAGTGGTTATGGTGTCGCCCTCATTGGCAGCCCTGCTTCTGGCGCTGGTGCTGGTGTGCAGGGCTCACGGCTCCGCCGACCCGGGCGAGCCGCTGTTCCTGACCCCGCTGATCGAGGCCGCGGAGCTGCAGCAGGCCCGCGAACAGAGCAGGGTGCTCGGCCTTCCCGGCGCCGGCGCCAATGTCACCAGTCACTCCGGCTTTATCACCGTCGACAAGGAGCGCAACTCGAACCTCTTCTTCTGGTTCTTCGAGTGTCAGCAGGCGTCTCCGCTCGAGGCTCCAGTTCTGCTCTGGCTACAGGGTGGCCCGGGCGCTTCAAGTCTCTACGGCCTGTTTGCAGAAAATGGCCCATTCAGTGTCGACACTGATTTGAATCTGGTTGCTCGTAACTTCAGCTGGAGCAATACCCACAACCTGCTGTATATCGACAATCCCACAGGCACAGGATTCAGCTTTACCTATGACGAGCAAGGCTTTGCCAGGAACGAGGAAGACGTGGCTCGTGATCTGTATTCGGCTCTTACGCAGTTCTTCACCGCATTTGAGAAGTTCCGTGACAATGAATTTTACGTGTCCGGGGAGTCGTATGCAGGCAAGTATCTGCCAGCAATCGTCAACAAGATTCACGTGGAAAACCCAACAGCCGAGGTGAAAATAAACCTGAAAGGCATGGCGATCGGTGATGGATTCGTCGATCCAATCAATCAGGTGGACTACAGTGAGTACTTCTACAATGTCGGATTGGTTGACGCCAAACAAAGCGAACAGTTCCACGACGTAGCCACGCAAACCGTGGATCTGATCAACCAGGGGGATCTGGCGGAAGCATTTCTACTGTGGGACACTGTGTTGATCGGCACGGTCTCTCCCTACCCGACACTCTTCCAGAACATAACGGGATTCACCAACCAGTACAACTACCTGCAGCCGAACGACGCAGGAAACGACCCATTCAACGACTTCCTGAAACTGCCGGCCACGCGAGCTTCCATCCACGTGGGGAACTTGCCCTACAACGAAGCTGTCGACGCCGTGATCCACTACATGATCAGTGACGAGATGAACACGACCAAGCCGCTGTTGGCCAGTGCCCTGGACGCCGGCTATCGAGTGCTCATCTACAGCGGCCAGCTGGACATTTGTGTGCCGTACCCGCTGACGCAGCGGTGGCTGGCCTCGATGGAGTGGCACGGCGCCGAGCAGTACCGGGACGCCGAGCGTGTCATCTGGCGCGAGCGGGGCGAGATCGCCGGCTACGTGCGCCAGGTGGACAACCTGTATGAGGTGCTGGTCCGCAACAGCGGCCATATGGTGCCCACCGACCAGCCAGAGGTCGGCTATGCGCTCATCACTAGGTTCACGGGCACATACGGAGCGCAGGGGTGGCAAGACTGATGCTTCGACGCAATCTGATGCTTCGACTCTTTAGTGCCCTGGACGCAATCTGTCTTGGGCTAAAATGAGTCTTCATGCGTATGTGCGTTCATGCGATGGTGAGATAAAACTATACCAAAGAAAGCGCCAGCCGCCAACATGCTTTGAATCAGGACTCCTCCGATGTTGGAGAATGTCGGGCCGACATTCTGCCGACATTGTCGGCACCGCGCATGTATCTGTCTACAAATATAACGTTCCAATTGACATGGGGTTGCCGAATATCGGTACGCGAATGCTGTACTGTATCGTTGCATCGTTCTCACAACTTCACTAGTTCACGACAGTTAGCCAAAGAAGCCGATGAACCTATGAGGTTTGTATTCAGAGCGACACTAGAAATATGTAAACAGGTCACATAAAATTACAAAAGGGCATACCAATAAGATAGATGAGCTTCCTGACGAGGCAAAACAACGCATCAGCTTCTATTGAATGAGAGCGCATGCGCGTAAGCACATGCACTCCGCACACATACACATGCATATGTATTCGTTGCATGAATGAACATCACGAACATCACAACAGCTACAGCACCTGGCAGCGTTATCCGATCCACAGGCCTCATCATCGGCCGGCCCCAGAGGGCCCGCGTCCCTGCCATCCCCGTCAGGGGCGTTCGATGGCCACAGGCAGCTCCGGCTGCACCGTCCCCGCCAGAGTCAGGTCCAGTCCCTGGTCGGCAGAACGCACCCCATCCGGCCTCCCTCCCTCCCTCCCGAACCCCACCCCTGTCACACACAGCCGCCGGACACCGCAGCGCCCCTGGCGGCGGCCTCCCGAACCACACAAAGAAACGAAGCACCAGCAGACTAGAGCGGAGCACGCCGCGCACGGCCCGGTTTCGCGCGCTACACAATGCGAATGGCGCGCTCGCGACTCTCCTCGTAGCGACTCTCGCGGCGCGCCAGACTGGGCGGGCTCTTCTTTTTGCGCTTAGCGCAGCGGAAGCTCTCTGAGAACACCTCACCGGTGCGCAGCGCCGAGATGAGGTCGTCGAACTCGCGGTTCTGGTCCTGCTTGGCGTCACTGTCGCCGTCGCGCCGCAGCTGCGACTCCCGGTTACCGCGCCTTTGTAGCGTCATCTGCTTCAGCTGCAAACGACAGAAAAACGGAGCGTTAGCTACAGGAGACGATAAGACCCAGCGCACTGAGAGCAAGCGTAACTCGAGCGACGGTTTAGTGTGACACACATAAAAACGAAAAGATGATTACAGCAAATAAAGGAACGTCTACGAGTCCCTTGGGAAGGGTTTCATGAAATCACCCAGGTGGCACCCAACGCCTACCTCCTGTTCATGTCGGAGCCTCTTCTCTTCCTCCTCCCTCTTCTTTCGGACGTTGATGTTGTCCTCGGTCGCCGCGGCAAACGAGGTGAGGAAGGCGTCGAAGATGCCGAAGAACTCGTCAGGGTTGGTGGTGTTCGGCTCTTCACCGAAGAACTGCACCACCTTCTCAAACTGAAAACGAACAGTTCGTCATTGTTTCATATGATGCTTGTACGAGTAACGACGGTTCAGCCATCGTTAGGGATGCTCATAAGTCACAACGTGGTTGAAATTGTATGCTGAGCAACATGGGTAAAGGACACATCTAAACTGACATCATTCGTTTGATCATAGTGAGCTTTCTTCATCTCCCGAAGAGGCCCAATTAGTGAACCCACTTACCCTGGCCCGCATATCTGAGAACTCATCCTCCAGCTGGCGGCACTTGTAGGTGGCCTTGGCGGCGAACTCCTTCATCGTCGGCACGAACAGGTCACTGGAGTCGGCCGGACGACTGCGCTGGAAGTCCAGCTCCTTCTGGATGTCCTTCAGGCCGGTCCGGATCAGCGCCATGTCTTTCTGCAGTTCCGACATGCTGTCCAACAAGCGGTGAAATGTAAGGGATTGGTGCAACGCAAACAGTGCCGGTCCGAGGTAAGGGATATAGATTACTGCTACACAGACGATTTATCAAGCATTTCTTACATAAATGTGACCATAGCGCACTCGCCAGTTGGTAAAATGCAGTGCATAGTGTATGCTCGATTATAGACATGAGTATTCAAAATAAATTGCCCAGAGATATCAAAGGCTGCTACACCAGTCCCAACACATATCACTGGAACAGAACAAGCAAGCACGCAGCAGCCCCGCAGCCAAAAACGTCTGCAACCCACCTGACTTTGGCAGCATCTCGAACGCTTCCCAAGTCCTCGCCAAGCCTCAGCACGTCGGGGAACTTGGTCTCCAGCAGCTCCACGATGTAGTGCAGCAGCGTGATGTGTTTCCTCGTGCTCGACTTGGTGTCGCCGATCCTGCGCAGACTCTCCAGTCGGAAGCCCTGCGCGTTGCCACGCTGGCCGCGGTTCATGTAGTTTCCGAACGCCAACACCAGTTCCAGAAGCTTCTTGAGCCGTCGGCTACGCTGCAGCTCTTTCGAAGCTTCGACCACGGCCGCGATACGTGGCCGCAGCTCTGCCAGCCGCTCGGCAAAACGCTTCTTGTAGAAGAGCGACTTCAGTCGCGCCTCGTAGTGGGTGATTCTGAAATTTCAGATACGATGTTTCAAAAAAATGTTTTAGCTAAAACTCTATCAACTTGTAACGATCGGAAATTAATTCTGATCAAAAACTAAATTTAGATAAGTCTCACCTAACCCTGGGCCTGGCAGATTATCACTCAATCTCCAGTTCACTCACCCTATACATTGGTTTCGCGCGAATAAATTCCTTCAAACTCAAACAGTATTAGAAGGTGACTATCCAACAAAGCAAAGCATATCTCTCTTTGCTGCCACTCACTGCGAGATCTCGTAGAGGAAGCGATCAGCGCGCGCGAGACTCTTGAGCTCGTCACTGTGCTCCTCCAGCAAGGCCTTCTCCTCGGCCGACGGCGTGAACTTGAGGAGCTGCTCCACCATGTCCGGCGGCAGCTGATCCTTGGTGTCCATCGACATAAGGGCCCTGGGGGCAGGAGGAAGACCACATCACCAAGTTAGGCGTATCGCAAAAATGAAAAGAAAAAATAGTGACGCTACGCTCGATCCCTGTTCTATTAATTTACATATTCTACCTACTCTCGTTTCCAGAATTCAAGCACTCTTGAAGCTGTGTATCTCACGGGTCATTCTCTCAGATGAAGTCCGTTAACCGTTTACTCACAAGCTGATTTCATCGTCGTGATTTAAAAAAAAAAAAAACACGTCAAAATAGAAAGGTTTCAAGCCCATCATATCCCCAACCAAGTCATCGGGTGAGGCTCTAGGCAAACTCACGATTTGATCTCCTTGTCGGAGAGTTTCAGCTTTGAGAGCAGTATGGTACAGTTCTGCGCCCTCCGGGCATCCACAACGCTGATGACCTTGTTCCGTGAGCGGGTCAACGTGCCGGCATTCGTCAGGTCGTCCAGCGAGCTGTCCAGCTGCGGGGAAACGAGGTCATGTGGAGGTCAACAGAAGGTCAGCAGGAGCTCAGACGGAGACGGCTTAGAAAGCGAGAAGTCGGCCCATAGACGACGCGTGATAGTAAAGGGTAGATAGACGTTTTTTCAGGAGCGATCGTCATTGAAAACGAGAAAAAGTGACCAACTTGCTAAAGCTTGCGGGATTACGGATTATAGCGGCACTTATCAGGGTAATAAAGAGACAAACCTTAAATACAATGCTAAAAAGATAAAATTCACTTTCCTTGACTGCATGCATGAACCACCAACATGCGGCTCCCAGGTTCCTAAATACGCTGTGAGAACGACATGTAGTTTGCCTTGGTGGCTCACTTTTCACTTACATTGTCATTTGCCGACAAGTCCACCGAATTATCGGCCTGAAATGCCGCGTGTGAAAAGGCATACATCTCATGAAAGCAACAGCAGCTATGTGGTGGTAATAGTACAGCGCCATCTAGCCTAAACGACCCACTGTGGTCGAAATACCGAACATTGGCTGGGCTATCTGGACTTCTTCCTCTCATTCCAAAAGTGACTCGCCCACTAGAATGCTATAAATTATCTGTAGGAAACTTTGTTTTGGCAAGACCCCTACAAAATTCACAAAATTTGCCAACTGTCCCCCAAATACCTCGATCACCTGAACCTCTATGAAAATAGAGGTTCAAAAAAGTCACCTCGATCACCTGACTTCTCTATGTGAAACGTACACCTGTGGTGGCTCATCAAGCGATCGGCCTCCCTCGCTCCTTTCACCCTTTCTCCCTCTCTCAGACACTCACCAGGCCGTTCTGCCGCTGATAGGCCGAGAATGTCCTGTCCACGTCCGCCAGGTCAATGCAGCTGTACAGACGCTCCTCGTCTAGGTCGTTCCAGATCGTTCCGCCAATACGGTGGGCCGGCAGCTTGGACCAGTTAAAGCTCTTGAGCGGGTTGCCAGCCTTCGGCACCTTCTTCTGCTTCACCGGAGGAGCGTGCCCGTTGAGGAGGGGTGGTGGTGGGGGCGGCACTCCGCCGGGCGGCGGGGGCGGGGGCGGGGGCGGAGGCGGCGGCGGCGGTCCGGCGCCGGCAGAGGTGCGTGATGGTAGGGTGCTGATCTTGGCCTCATCTGTGATAGCGGCCTCCTTCAGACTGCGTCCCGAGCTGTACTGCAGCTCCTGAAGCCGCTGGATAGCCTGTAGGTGACCTGGGGACGCAGGAAGGTATTGGTGCGGTTAGATACCTAAAAAGTACTTCAACAGACTAATGGGCTTAAATAAATATCGCAAATAACTAGCATCAATATTAACCCTCGCACGACCAGGCCATTTCTCATAAAACGAACGACCAGGGGGGGGGGGGTGTTACGACCCCCCCCCTGGCGTTTCGAAACGGAAGGTCGTAGAGCTTAGCGGAAAAACCCAACGGATTGCTCTCAACGAGATCTCGCGATTGGTGGTATATTTTTGGTCCTAGGTCAACATTTGACCTACTTTTGACCGGTCAAAGGTCAAATTTTCGGGAAAATAGACTTTTTTCAACTTTCGGCGGCGATTGCGGCAAAACGGTGGGAGATATCGACTTGAAACCTTCACTATCGTGTTCCTTGATCAATTCTCTATCGTTTGGTATGTATTTCGTTTCCCTAGCTCTAAAAATGGCGCGTTGGGAGCGCCGGAAGTCGGCAAGGTCACAGTCGACGGCAGAAATTCGAAAATTCAAAATTTAAATTTTTAAAATCTGATTGTATTTTTGGATTTGGGAGGTCCATTTGCTCCCTATAGAAGCTAATATTGC